TGGAGAGGGGAGTCTAGACTGGGATCTGCAGCAAGACTTTTTTGTGCTTACCGGAGCATGGGGGGGATCTCTAGCTGAACAGTGATTAAGATCTTTCACTGGCTTTTAACTGTAGGCAACACACTAATTGCAAATAAGCAAGTCTGGAGCTGAGCTGCGGTGAGGGAGTTTTGCTGCAATGGCCTTTGAAGAGCGCTTGCCTCCTACTACAGCAGGCACCAGACGTCTCAGACAGCACAAGGGAACAGAGCGAGGGGGGCAGCATGAGATCTCTGGGTGAGAAATGTGGTGGTGGCAGCAGTTACCTGAGTCCAGCGTGGAGAAACACAAGGCTGTGACAGCTGGGTGTCCCCGACGTACTCCCCTTGGCACAGAGTTAGCCAGGAGACTCCCTGCCTCACAATACTAGCGAGACAAACCTCTCAGCAGATCTCAAACCACTGTTCACCGTATGTATGCCAGCCCTCATGCTTCAGGGATTCCCAGCTGAGGTCACTGTGTGCTGTGAGAAGCTCTTGGACAGTGCAGATGCCAGATAGCTTTAGGGTACAAAATCATGCACTTTAATCTTTGCTAACATCCTCTGCGCTCGCTGAAGCATGGGCCGCGGAATTAGCTTTGACTCAGTTTAATGGCACTCTCCTGCCAAGAGAAGCCTGCTGGTGGGTCCGTTGTACATGTTTTGTGTTCACAGGTGCATCCTTACACGCAGCTGCAAGTAGTATAGGAAAGGATATTTGGAGGAGCGTAGCTGCTTGCAAAGTCTCATTCAGCAGCTGCAGCAGCTTGGCCTGAAAAGGCAGCTGGTTCCATCTGACCTGAGGGCTGAAGTCCGTAGTGTTCCCTTGCCCTTCTTAAAAGTGATTGGAAAGAGCTGTTTAAATAGTCTGGTTATTTTCCTCTCTCATATTTATTTGAGGGAGGGGTCTGATATGCCAGTCAGAGGAGCATAGCTCGTTAACAGGTAGCATCGCAAATTAGATAGCCCTGCCAGATGTATTCTGCGTCTGCAGGCTCAGTTCACTCTTAAAGCAGTATCTCACTGGTGCCAGGGAACAGCTTCCAGCTACAAGCCCCTCATAAACAGGAATCGAGTCCTGCAATGGTCTGTCTCGTAGAAACAGCTGTCTGCAGTGTACGGCTGAGGAAACTGAGGCACGGAGAAGGGATGTCTTACCCCAGGTCAGACAGCAACCCAGCCCTCCTGACTCCCATCTCTGCACCTCAGTCATTTCAGTGCATGTCCTCTGTAATCCCAGCCAGCACTTAAACCTTAGAGGTGTGGGAGCAGCAGTGATCCGGGCCTGGGGCGGTGCAGGGAGAGTGCAGCACATGAAAAGCTGTGCGTGACCAGGACAGCGATCCCTTGGGGTGATTCGTAGGGAACTGCTTTTTTCAGATCGAGTTCTCCCTGCTGTCTAAGGCTAAGGCAGGTCCTCCCGGCTGCCTCTGCTCTCCGTGCGCGGGGCTCAGCTGTGCTCCACTTGGGTTTTTCATACTAACAGGCCGTGGTTGTTCTTTGCAGGTCAGCGGACACCTGGACTACATGAAGCAAATGGACACTATCCTGAAGGCTGTGGGCATTAAAACCAAGGACTGTCGCCTGGAGGAGATGGGGAGCACCAGCCTCTTCTCCAGCCAGGGCAAGAAAAGACAGGAGCCAGCAGACAATGAGACTCAGGGAGAGAACAGCAGGGTGGTAGAAGACGGTGCCATCAAGTCTGACCACTGGTCCTGGGAGCCCATAGCTAGTGATGGACCGTGCCCGAGTGGCAGAAACTCTCCCCTTACACACCCCAAGGCTTCCGAATCGCCAGTCTCGTCAGATGCCAGCAGAGACCAAAGCCCAAGCAACAAACATGTATCAGCCAGCTCCCTGTGCTGCTCTGGTTCTTCTAGTCATGTCCTGGGAGAAATCTCCTGCCACGACCCAGACTATTCGAACAATAATGACATCAAGAAGCAGGCAGCAGACCAAAGTCTGGACTGAATCTGAGAAATCAACACTGAACAATCCCTTGCTCTTTCCTTGGTCACTGCATCATGACTAGAGGACACAACCTGCCTAGTGCTTTGGTGCAAGACAGCCCTGGCCTACCTGGTTCTTCAGTGCACCCCTGGGCTGAGCACTAAATGCAGTTACTAGAAAACATGAGCATCTGGTTTCTGGCACAGCTAATAATTTCCGTAGGTCTGGCACTGTTGGGTTAAAGAGCCATTAGAACCGTTGAATAACCCTGGGCAATACTGGTTTTCAGTGGAAACCCTTTGGAGATCTTTTTGGGAGTGTTGGAGTGGGAGGATGTTCTGGCAGGATCACAGCGTCTCTCAGGCTCCCACAACACCAGGAGACTCCCAGCGGCTGGGCTGGAACACCAGCATGTCCAGCAGGGCTGGTCTGCTCTTCATTTTGCAGTTGCTTCTTCCCACCTTCCTTACGCCACATCTCCTTACACTACAGGGTAGGAAGCACCATCAGCCAGTGCTCAGAGGCTGGGATGGAAAAGCCCAGCTGATGCCATTGCTGCAATACAGCCAAACTGCTATAATGTACCTGAGAAAACCCCCCATGAAAGCCCACATCTGTTCCTTCAGCACTTCAGACCTGGTTTACTTACTCCCCTGCATGAATTAGTAGTCCAGTGGGATTCGGACGAGAGTTGTTGCACTCTGGCATTAGCTTCTTCTGCCTTAAGGCTAGCTCAGGGTTATGGGACCACGGTGGCATTGCTGTGCCACCCCCTCATTTTCTTCTTCCATCCATTCTTTGTGCGCACAGTGGCAAGACAGGCAGACAGGAATAGACTGACCCTAGTGTTAACAGTGACAGACACACTTGGGCCAGGTGCTGTCTCTACACTGGACTGCAGAAGGTGCAGCAGGATGGGCACTGACTGCAGCTTAGAAGATGTTATCGAAACTGGAGCATGGAAGTGGAGTGTCACTGGGACAAAGCCCTCGGAGCTGCTGTGACTGTCTTCTCACCTGACGGAGAGTCGGGTTCTCGGCTGCTGTAGATCAGCCAAGAGCCACAGAAATCATGGAGTTGTCCTGATTGGCACTAGCTGAAGTCCTAGTGCTTGTCCTCGGAGGTTACTGCCGTGATCATGGTAGGAAAATGCTGCTTCATGTTGTGAAACTTAGGGAAACCAAGTGATTGTGGCAGCATTATTAAAGTATCTTGGGGACCAGGAATTTGTCTGTTTGAAGAACAGCTTGTCACTTGGGAATTAAAGGGGTGAATTTGTTTTGTATCACTGTCAGGTTTTTTAAATGCTGGATCTACATGCACAGTGCACATCGATTCACCAAGGTGAGTCTCACCCACCTGTCATAGGGAGACGGATGAGGATACCCAGATTCATCCTCTGACAGTGCATGGCTGTAAGGGTTTAAGCAAGACACTCTCCAGACTGCATCGTATGTATGATGGAGAGAATAACACTGAGCGTTCCCTGGCAGGTTTGAAGCTTCATTGCCTTTTGCAAAGTGTGTTGAGATCCTTGGATAAAACGTAGGGGAGCCAGGGCCAAGTCTCACAATACAAGGCAAAGTTTTTTTCAGTGACCTAATAGGCAGCAAAGCACCCATCCTTTTCTTTTCTGTCCTTCACATTTCCCTTCCAGAAATCCCCTTTCCCTCCAAGGCTTATAATTTGACCTTAATAAAAGGAACAAAATGAATCTGTATTTTCCCTTTCCAAAACACCGCCCACCCCGGACTTGCTAATACGACCATATGTTGGTTTGTGCTCTCTCAGACTGGGTGGAAAATGTGTGTGTGCTGTCCTCTGTGCTGTGTGTGGTGCTTTCCCCACCCCCCTTACTTGACCTGCTGTGCTGCTGAGCGTGACATCCATTCCAACAACAGCCTTAAGCTGCTCCGTGCAGGTCGTGGTCTCCCACCCCCACCTCGAATGCAGGTCTGCCCTGGTTGGAGCACTGGAGCTGTTTCGTGTGGCAAAAGCCAGCTCAGCGGAGTGGATCTCTGCACCTGGATTCAAACTGCAGGTGGGGTTTAGATCGGCAGATTGCAGCTGCCCAAATTGGACTGTGGCCACAGGACGAGCGAATGCTGCTCCTGGGATACGTCACTGAACACAGCGGTGCCATCCATCTGTACCTGGGGGCACAAACGCCGAGAATATGTTTTGAATTGTTTCCCGTGAATTTGTAACTACACCCCCCTTCGTCACAACAGTCTCCACAAAGACAGCAGTTAGACTCCGCAGACAGTTGCCCACTGTTAGTCCAAGGATCTCAAGGCGCTTTGTGAAAGCAGGTGAGCATTATGATCCCTGCCTTCAGATGAGCAAACTGAGGCACTCGGTATAGAAACACAGAAAACAAGGGCTGGAAGGGACCTCAGGAGATCATATAGTCTAGGCCTCTGCTCCAGGCAGAAACGTGCCCCCTTGCAGCTCCCACAGACTTCTCCAGCAATTAGGGGCGCTCAGCATCTGAAAATGCACGTTCCCCACAGCACTAGTCTGGCAGCTGGGGCTTGCGGGGTCAGAGTAGCAGTCCAGCTTTTGCCCTTTAAAGGCTCACCCTCAAAGTGCTCCCTTTACTTGGGCTTTCAGAACAGAACAAGAAAATCCAGCATCCCGGAGTTTCCCAGACATCCTTCAAACCTTGTGTACCGGTATGAAAGGGACTGGCACGGAGCAGAGATTGCTCTCTGCCAAGAGGCAGCACTGGGCTCTTCTTGGACCCCTTTGCCTGCTAGATCTAGTTCAGCTTCTTTCCCATCCTCTTCATTTTCGCTGTGGGCTGATTTCAAATTCTACGTTCTGATCAAGAGAAGGGAAAATATCACCAGTTTTCTTAACTCGGAGAAACTAAAAGCATCATACCCAGGCACTTCATGCCTAGTTCAGCCTCTTAAGAGCACTTGGGCTGCTTCGTGGTTCACAGATAAGGAGTGGGGAGTAGCGGCAGTGAGAAAGCGAGTACAGAGAGACCAGCAATTCAGCAATAAAATGTGACTTCACCTTTTTAAACAAGCCCAAACTGTAACATGAAGAAATGGTTAGCGACTTCCACACGAAGAGGAGATACATTTCCCTTCCTGCAGCTAAGCTGTCAAAGAACCCAGTGATTTGTTTGCAGAGTGGCAGGGGGCTATATATCATGGTAAATCAATGCCGCGGTATGTCCATACGGTCCATTTTGGTTCAAGAGGTCCCTGTACCTATACACATACATGCACACGCACACACAGCGCCACATACTCCTCCATCTCTGCCTTTGTCCTCAGGGGCCACACCATATTGCAGCAGGTACCATTAGGCAGCATATGGCTAGTTTGTCAATTGGGAGACCCCGTAACGAGCTCTCCCCAGCCGTCTTCTGTTCCCATCCAAGCCCCTCGGTCAATCCATGGGAGTGTTTAGCTGGTTGATCTGCAGCTCCTGGTCTGTGTGGTCCAAGTCAAATAGGTTGACTGAATCGGCCCCCGTGACTGGGATGGACTCCAAGTGATGGTCTTTGCAGGCGGGCAGAAAGATGTGCTCGTTCACTTGGATGACCGAGTCCACAGAGTCAGTCTCGCCCTGCAAAGTGAGGACATTCTTGAGGGACATCCCCAGCCGCTGCCCACTGTTGGAGTTCCTCATCGACAGGGAGATGGCGCTGGGCCTGCGTTCCCACGAGCGCCGGCAGCAGGGCAGGTACTTGGCCATGGCTCTCTTGAAGTCCCTCATGAAGAGCGGGTAGATGATGGGGTTCATGGTGCTGTTGCAGTAACCAAGCCAGGTGAGCACATCAAAGAAGCCGGCAGGGATGCAGTCACATACTGCCTGCAGGTGGGAGAGAGCAGAGATTAGACCAAGTCACTGAGGCCGTTTGCAGTGCTGTGGCTGCCTCAACCTTTCCCAGAGCTTTCTGTGCTCTGGGGCTTGGTTGTGCTGCCCTCGGGACAGTTGCATCCCAGCTCTGGCCTTTGCGGAGGGAGTTCTGGGCCTTTCCATGTGCCCCAAGGAGGGAAGTCCCTGTGGGGGACCACGGGAAAGCAAACGCAGGCAGCAGCCTGGGGCAGAGCTCATCACAGCAGGGGTGGGGGAAGCATCCAGGACTTCCCAGCTTCCTGCAACGAGAATCAGTACAGGACAGGGAGCCCAGGGGAGGCCAAGCTCCCTTTCCAGAAGGGGCTGCCTCACTGGGTGCAGCTACAGCAGCATGAGTGTGTCAGCGAAGCCATCAGCCCCATGCGTGGGGAGCAACAGTGCTTCCCCCTCCTAGCGGGGGGTGGAAATGAGCTTGGCTTTGAGAAGAGCTCAGCATGTTTGCCTCGCTGCAGGTTCCCAGCACAGAGGCAGGACTTGCACTGGGAGGGTGGGATTGAGCCAGTACGAGAAGCTAAAATGGCCTTCAGGAAGGCCCATGAGCAGCAGTTGTGTGTCCTGCTTCCCCTGGTTCTACCTCCTGGCCAAGCAGCCATGGCTTCCACCGGGCCATGGCTCCAGACATCCTTGCACAAAGGACAGTCCCTGCCCTGGGGAGCTGAGGGCTGGGTGTGCAGGCATCTCGCTCCCCACTGCCTTCAAAGCACCTTTTAAAAACGGGCCCTTCCAGCCAGAATCCACATGGGCAGGGATGGGAAAGGACCCAGAAGAAGGGCAGGGAGGCCAGTGACATTACGTGGGAGCCATGGACATTGCACTCATGTTTATCCACACTGCTCCTCGGGGGCTTTGCTCAAGGCGAGGGCGCATGTGACAGATAGAGGTAGAAAACAATCTGCCCGGGACTTACTTGTGCCATGTTAGACACAAAGAAGGGGAGCCAGGCCACGAAGAACATGCCCAGCAGGATGCCCAGGGTCAGGCTGGCCTTCAAGGCTTTCTTGCTGTGCTTATTGGCAAATTTCCTGCTCTCGCTCGTGGCCGCCGATTGGCTCTGGGCTCTGGAGACCTGTGGAGAAGGAGGAGCAGCGTGAGAAGGAAGCCTCAACAACAGGAGGGACCCACGTAATGCAGCCCCCAGCAAGCCTTGCTGCCTCGTCCTCTGGGGGGTTACCCAGGGGGATGAGGATGCACTGGGACATGGCTCAGACTCAACTCCAGTGGCGAGGAGCGCAGTTCAAGGCGCCTCCGCAGAACGCAGCTCCCAGCTGGACCGTCAGCACGAGCCTGATGGGCCCCTGGAGGGGAGGCCACAACACAGAGGGAACACGCTGTCCTGGCTGCAGGTGGACATGGTCCCCTGTGCTACAGGGTGGGTTTCGTGCCTCCCTTGCAGGACCCCAGGCTTCAAAAACGCTGAGTGCCCACAGCTGCCAACCGCTTGAATGGGATTTGCACTGAGCAGGATGGAGCCCTCCGACACGGGCAGCAGGTGTGTGTTGTCCAACACTAGAGATACTACAGAGGCCTTGAATGGCAAATCAGACATCAGTGCGCTACCCCGAACACTCCCCTAGACCCTCTCCTTTTCTTAGCAGGGAAACTGAGGCATGGAGCAGGGGCAGGGATTTCCGAAGCCCACAGTTACTCAGTGGTAGGATTTGGATTCACATCCACCCAGAAGTGCCAGGCATGTGACTGCCTCGTGAGATCCCACTACACAGAAAGAATGGGCAGGTAGCATGTGCTGTCTGAACCCCGCTCTCAACCCCTACCCTCCAAATTGGGGTGAGGTGGCAAGGGTGCTACAATGCAGGGGTGACATCCCAGCGGTTGCAAGTTAGACGCTACAGCAGTAGTGCTCACCGCAACGGCCGGTCGTTCCAATGAATCTGCAGATCCTGCTAAATACCCTGTTACAAAGACACAGGAAGGAAGGGAGGACCCCCCCAGACTGGCCCGGCAGTGAAGGCTGTGATTAAAACTGGAAGCGCTGAGAAGAGGAAAAATTCTACCCACTAAAGAACGGCCTTGGTATTGAGCCCCTCTTGTTACTGCGAAAATCCAAGGAAATCAATCGCTCTCCGGAAGAATTTACTGGGAAGCAGCTTAGCCTCATGGTGCAGCCACATCATTGCATTTTTAAAAACAGGGTCCTACATATTTCAGTTCACAAACACCAGGACTGGCTCTGGCTTCCGTCTAGCTCAGCAGTCACAAATTAAATCATTCTGCCAGCATCCTGGCTTAATGAAATAAGCCACAGCTTGCTGATCAGCCCTCCCTTCCACAAAGAAATTCCCATTACCAATGTAACACCCCGGTGGCTCTTTGCTTTGCATCTCATTTTTTTGGTCTGCTGTTTTATTCCAGTTGAGTTGAGGCTGGATGCAAATGACAGCTCCGCTGCGCCAAAGACACGATTCTTTCTGCAAGAGACCAGCTCCCATCCCTCAGCCAGGCCCATCTGAAAGCCCCATTTCAATGCCCCTGGTTTAACTGGGAGTAGGATGGTGGCTTTTGACAGGCCCTTGCTCAGCGAGGCAGCTTGAACACAATCTAACCCCGAGCACCTGCTTCAGGCTCCTTGATTTCCAACTGCCGCATGCCCCGGTCCAGACTGCGGCCTCCCTGCTGTCCGTGGTGCTGAAGATTGTTCCTTCCCACCCACCCCCACCCCCAGCTGCACAAGGGACGTTGCTTTTCGGGCCTAAATGCTGATCATGCTCCCACAACCATTCTGGGCCAGCTCTTTAGCTGTGTGATTTATGCAAGGGGAGGATCTAGCCCTGTGCTTCCCAAACTTTTCCTTAGCATGACCCCATTTATGGTCCCATTTCCTCAGCATGGCCCCTCACTCCCAACCTGCCCCCACAACCCTGTCTGCTGATGTTGCGATCCCATTTGGGGTTGCGGCCCCCCATTTGGGACCTGCTGATCTCACCCTTTAAATGTGATTGCTCGTGGAGTTTGATGCCTCAGAAAAGGCACCAACATCGATATTAGTTCCTGCTCCTTGTTCTTCTTCCTAAACTACATGACTTCTCATCTCCCACAAGTGTGTTGGCTGGGTCAGCGAGTCCCAGCTCTTTATGTGAGAGAGAGGGAGGGAACAACAAATTAAGTCCAGGTATTTAAAGGCAATTAAGTTTGTCTTTTCCCTGTGGGATCCAGGGTCAATAGAGACTATTACTGAGGAATTAAATCTGTTTGACTTAGCAGCAATTACTTTTGCCTGCAGAAACAGATTATAAATGAACTCGAATTCAGCCACATTTTGGTTATAAAAATACATGCAGGGGTTCAACCACTCACTCGGAGAAAGGAGGTATTCAGCCCGTAATTGCAAGCAACTGACAAAATATTGGAGGCAGAATAAGATTTCCGAACAGGGTCACGTTCTAGCATTTCAAATTCTCTGCCATTTCACATGCTTTCTTCCCATCTGTGTGAAGTATATCGCATGCACACACACACACACACACACACACAACTAGTAAGGCTTGTGATTGGGAAGATGGACAGGACTAGCTATTGTGTGGGATGGCACCATTTGTGTGATATATCCCATCCATTTTTGCACTACTGACCAATTCCATCTACCCATCAATTCATCTCCAGGTCTGTTCAGGCTACGAATTTCCCAGATCTCTGAATGTACCAGAACAGCCGCCATTGCAACAGCGGGGAGGAAGCCTGCTAAGAATCTCCTGCTTTTCAGCAAAACTGTATTGCAGTGAGCTAAGCGGGCACATGGTCAACATCTAGGCCTCGGTGGCATGTTTGAAGTCCAACTTCTAGACACTTCAGGATAATGTCTCTCTCAGGGAGAGAGAATGATAACTCAAGCACACTTCCCACTGGCCAAAGTGTTCCCTGCTCAGCACGCTGTTTGTGAGGAGTCACCATCTCTTAGACCAAGAGACCCTTCAATGTCTAACCCAGGTGTTCTTCATTTCAGTTCCCATCTAAATTTTAAGCTGGACAACACTCCACATCCCCTCAAGTAGGCCTCTCTTGGAGTCTGGCCCTAGGCTACTGCATAAAGGGAGAAGGCAGCTTCTTCTCTTGTCCCATTTTAAAACCAAGTAGCGCCCCTCATTGCATCGTGTACGAAGCCTGCTCCCAGTCCTGTGGTAGGCCGGCTCTGATGACACCTACTGAACTAAGGGATCCTGAAAAGAAGATTGCCTCGATTCTGGATTAGGCCTACACGGGGCACTGAGCTGCCCAGGCACATCAAGAGTGGGGCAGATCTGGGCATGTGAAAAGACACCTGGGGAACATGCCTATCAAACAGGAGACGCCTGTAGAGTTTCATAGATTTCATAGACATTAGGGCTGGAAGGGACCTCACAAGATCATCAAGTCCAGCCCCCTGCCCAAGTCAGCTGGGGTCAAAGGATCCCAGCAAGATAAGCATCCAGATGTTTCTTGAAAGTGTCCAGAGTAGGTGCTTCACCACCTCTGGGGGCAGTCTGTTCCAGGCCTTGGGGGTTCAGACAGTAAAGAAGTTTTTCCTTATGTCCAGCCTGAAATGGTCTTGCAGGAGTTTGTGACCGCTGGAGTTCAGGCACCCACAGGGGTGGGCAACAGCTAAGGGTAGATGTTCACAGCTGCAGTTCTGGACTTTGGCACCTTCATTCTGCCGAAAGTCCTCCTTTGATGCTGAGACCTTTCACACACACGTGTTGCTTAGGACGTAGTGCCACATCTGGGTTCCTCTCGCTACTTCCACTGACCCGGTTCCAGGTCCTAGTTTGGCTACTGCAATCCTTTTAGACAAGTTGGTGAATTAAGTTCCCCAGGCAGGAAAGGTAGCAAGTGTCATGACATCTATGAATCTGGAAGCAGCTGAGCAGGGAGATCTCTCTTATGTTGTATTTCAGTGGTAGACGTGAGGATGTATTATTCGTCTCAGTGTTCAGCACCTGTCACAACTCTGGTGCACGCATGGCCATCCAGTCCCTACTCACAGCAACTACTAATGAACCCAGCTCAGAGGTTAATTAGATTTCTTGACAGAGACAAATAGGGTGGTGCTAGTACAGAGCCCAGCAACAGCCCTGCCACTGCAGCCCAGGGCTGAGTGGGATGTACTAAAGACACACAGCAGAGCCCAGGGGGCTTTGGATAAATGGTTCCCACTTGCCTTTAACCCTCATCCAGCTCTCCAGCACCAGGTGCCTTGTTTCTTGCTAATTCCAGCCTGCCGATGTCCCGCAGATCCCAGGGGATGGCAACAGGGGAAGGCTCTTTCTAAAAGGGGGAAGAAAGTGGTTTCCAGTGCTTTGAGGCTCCTGTCATTCCCTATCCTTTCCCTGCCACCAAGCCGCACCAAGCAGAGCGGCATCAAGCTCCATGCTCCCTAACAATGGGCATGACAGCTTCTCCTCCTCCACATGGTTATTTTTGTGACTGCTGTTCCCTTCTCCACAGCTGAACAAGCAAGGGGGCGAGAGTGAGAGAGAGCAAGGCTCTTTCTGGTCAGCAAAGCTCCTTGGCACCCCCAGTTTCCAAGTGAAATCTGGCCTGCTCCTGCAGCCCCAGAAACCTCAGGGAGCTGCCCCATGCGAGCAGGGGACTGGAAGAAGGAGAGGGCCAGGACTAAAGAGTCCCTACTGCCTCATCTCAGGACAGTTGGGCCCTTGGGTGCCATTCCCAGTAGTCACCAAATCACTGTGCCTTTGTTCCCCATCTATAACAGGGGATTTTGAATACTCAATCCCCGAGGAGTCTTGGAGATATAATTAATCAAGTGCTTTGAGATCCTTAAATGCAAGGTGCTGTAGACATGCAATACACCCTCCTGGTGGGGTTTCAAGGTGCCCAGAGAGAGAGTGGAGAGAGATCTGCAAGGTTCATGGTTGGCGATCCTGGTTTTCTCTGATTTAAAAAAATCCCCAATTTTTGGGTTTAAAAAAAATAACCCTAAATCCACATTTTTCTGTGCTTTAAATGAAATATTGCCAATATATAGATATAGATAGTGGTGTTTCATTTTAATCATGGAAAAATGTGGATGTGGGGTTACTTTTTTTAACTGAAAATTGGGGATTTTTTTAAATCAGAGGAAATCAGGATCCCTTCTCATGAAGGATGTTTTCCATTAAGCTATCCTCTATTTTTTGTCTCTCTGACAAGTGCAGTCATTCCTGGAAGGGGCTGGGATGCCATGCGTTGACCCCAACACATTTTGATCATCATGAAGGGGAGAAAGATTAAAGAGCTCACTCATATCTGAGAGAAACCAAACATCCAGCCCGGAGCAGTGAGCCAGGAAGGGCCTAAAGTCAGCAACAATTACATTTGCAATGAATCCAGTGTGCAAGTCTCTGTGTGTTTGCATGAAGGAGAGAGAGGGAGAGAGAGTCAGGACAATGTCTTTAAAACCCTCCAGATCATTTTTCCTCTTCCTGATTTCTAAAGTCTTAATCATTAGAAATGAAGCTGTACCTTCTTCAGTCCTAGATATAAATAGTCCAGCACTGAAGCTAAGACGCTGAAACTAGGGGGATTGACACACACGCACACAGACAAGGACATTTTTCCAAAGACATTGAGGAAAACTGGCTGCAGAGGGACTCTTTGCCCAGTTACACCAGTAAATCCAACAGAGTTCCCCCACTATAAAACTGGTGTAAGGGGAAGGAGAAATCTTCATTACTTCCCTAAGGACCCTTTCAGCTAATAAAAATCAAACCAATGCTTGCCGTTGGTCAGCGTGGTGAAGGAGGTTTGGGTCCAGCAGAGCAGGTGCAGGTCACCCCATACTGGTTTCAATCTAGATGGCATCAAGGCCAGCTTCTCTCACCCTTGTCCATTAGCCCCTGTCCCCCCAACCCAGTATTGTCTGATTCACCCACATCCCATCCTGCGTGGATCCTTCACTTGGCCATGATGAATAGTGAGGACATCACCATACCCCATGAACTGTACCTTGTCTTTCAGGACCAGACACAGTAAGCATTTGAGCCAAGGGCCCCATTGCACGGAGGCAGTCCCTGCTCTTCAGACAAGAGCAAAGAAGTGTGGGGAACCTTCACCTCTTCCCACCTCCCCTGAACTGGGGAGGGACTAACTGGCCTTGGTTTCTCGTACTCCTTCTGGAGCCCGCTTCAGGTACAGGTACAGTGTCATCTGCTGGGCCAGATCCCGTCACACCTGAGGCATTGGGGACAGGCCACTGGGCAATCATGATGTGGCCAGGAAGGCACCACAGAGGCTGGACTTTTGCGCTGGACTCCCATCGGTCTTCTCAACCATCATAGGCTCATCATATTATAGATACGCGCACACACATGCACATGGTCAAATATGGGTCGTTTGTCCCTCGTTACAATTCTCACACTGTGGACACACGAATGAGTTTGCATGAGGTACACTACTTGGCTTGCAAGGTAACCTACCTCACACCTATGATGAAGTAAAAACACCTGGGTTGTTACCACCCGTCTGCTCCTCAACAATAAGTTCACACCTCGCTTACCCCAAGGTGCCTTGTTCTCGGGCCCGGGCCCTCAGGCACGATGAACGAGGTCGTGTGGGCTCAGCCAGTGGTAATGAGGCTAATGAGGGTGGAGATAGAAAGCCCACATCTACTGTCTCATTACTACAGCTTGGGTCTGATCGTGTGAGGTGCTCAGCTGTGTCTAGGCAGCGCTGAGCCCTACCAACTCACATCATAGTCAAGGGCAGTCAACACCTTTCTGGACCAGGCCCTCATCAGCACTTTGCAGTGCAGGCGCTAAAGTATCAGGCCCCCGCAGGGAGTTTTGTCAAGTTTTCCTGCCTGGAGAAGTGAGCAGGGGTGCAGATGCTGCTCTGCGCCTCACCTGCTCCTGCAGTTCTTCTCTTCCAGGCCCTACAGGACAATGGGGACCCATTGCAGGCACTTGGGAAAGCAGGGCACTGCAGAGAGATGTCAGGGAAGCAGCAACGCAAAAGGTATTTGGACTGGACTAGGTGGCCTTTAATAAAGCCTATGTCTATGTACCACTTCCTCTCTGAGGAGTAGGAGCAGTGAAGGCTCAGCACAACCCTGCAAATTAGGTTATCACCATCCCTGTTTTACAGGGGCGGGGAATGAGCAGTGCAGGGAGAGAAAGTGAGTTGCCAGAGTCTCTCAGCAAGTCAGTAGCAGAGCTTGGGATGGAAGCAGACATCTGCCTCTCCGTTACCCTTTTCCCATGACCAGAAAATCAGCATTGCAGTGAGCAGTGCCACAAGTCCTGAACACCAAGGGTGTGTATGTCAGGAGGACGGCAAAGGTCGGCGGGGCTGCAGAAAGAAACCTTGACCAGGTTGCCTCAGCTTGACAAACCACAGCATACTTAGAAGACAGCAAAGAGCCTCCACCCACCAGGACTGATGGCAGGGAGCGCCCCTGACACCACTGCAGCAGCAACGAACACCTTTCCACCACTCTCGGGAGGTGCTTTCTCCTCGGGTTGCCCCTGACCAGTCTGCAGGTTCATTTCAGAGCCCCCGGGCATCATTCACCGGGGACAGGCAGAGTTGCAGGGCAACTATTCAAAGGCCTGGGGTGGGCTGACCAAGGGCTAGGGCCTGATCCCAAACTGCCACTGAATCAATGGGTGTCTTCCCCTGCTGGGACGAACTCCTGGAAATAGCGGGGTAGGAAAGGGGTAGAGCGGAGAGCTTTTTCCTAGGAGGAGCTTGAATAACAACCTGCCCCCTTCCCTGAAACAGACACAGGGAAAGGGAAAGGGGAGAATTTTCCTGGCTTTTTCCCTTCTCTACCTCCTCTCTCAACAGCCTTAAGTTACTCTTCATTCCCTGAGCTTCCTGCTTGCACCATAATCAGCCTCTCTAACTTTCCACTCTTGAGATATAAGTGCCTTTGCAGAGTTCAGGGGGGAAATCAGGCTTGTCTCGGCTAAGGAAACCACTCCAGCTGCTGACTTCTGTTCCTCAGCGCTGCTTCTGAACTGGCGATGGCTGCTGCGGAGGGACAGACAGACAGCAGGTGGATCAGTCCTGACAGTCCCTCTCCTGCCCAGACCGCCTGGCTCTCAACCTACCAGCTCCCCTTTCTCCACTACCAGCAGTCCAAGGGAACAGTGCTCCCAAGGTGCAGCTCCTACCAGCACGAGCAAGTCCATCCCTTGAGTGAGTCTGCAAGCCATCAACGTCCTGCAGTCCTCACGACTGTGGATACTATAGCAAGAGCCCCAAGCTTTCCCAGGAAGGCAGAACCCGGGATCCGCAGGGATTGTGGGTCAAGTAGACTCCACTGCCTGCACCTAGGAAAATCATGCCCCCACACATCAAGCCTCCTTACCTGTTGCGTGGGATCATCTGAAGTGGAGGTCACGTTGGTGGTGAGGGACGCCACCTGCACCGCTTGCTTCCTGGCTGCCAGGAGGATCCGGCAATAGGTGAAGGAAATAGCCACGGATGGGAGGAAGAAAGTCAGGCAGGAGGCTATCAGGGCAAAAGGCAAGCTGACCAGGAGCCTGCACTGGTCCTCTTCCATGTGGGAGGTGATGTTGAGCGGTGTGATCTCAAACTCCAGCTCGTGCCACCCCATCTTGATGGGCAGAAAGGAGGCCAAAGCGGCTAAGGTCCAGGTCGCAAAGATGAGCCAGACGGCCCTGCAGGAGGTCATCCGCAGCTTGTACTTGAGCGGGGAGATGATGAGCAGGTACCTGTCGAGGCTGATGACACACAGGTTGAGGATGGAGGCGCTGCAGCACATGATGTCAAAGGCGTACCAGATGGAGCAGAACTCGCCCTCCAGCACCCACCGGCCGTACAGCTGGTTCAGCATGGCCGGCGGCATGACCACCAAGCCAACCATGAGGTCGGCCATGAAGAGGGACACCAAGAAGTAGTTGGAGGTGTTGCGCAGGGAGCGCTGCGTGAAGATGAGCAGGATGAGCAGGAAGTTCCCCACGGCAGTCAGCAGGATGATGAAGCAGAGGAAGGCGGCCACCCAGCTGCTCCCGCCGGGGAGAGACCTTTCCCCAATCACGCTGGCATTGGGGCTCCCAAAATCTTCTTCCATCGAGAAGGCTCACGGGCTGGGTGATGGCTGAGGAGGGGGCACCGGCAGGTTCCTCGGGGCTGCTCTGGTGATCATTGCCAGGGCCGGCTTTTAAAGTGCCATCTCCTTCTTTTTCCCTCCTTCCCTCTGTCTGTCTTTCTCTCTCTCTGTCCTCCTTTCTTCTCTCCCTCCCCCTCTCCTCCTCCTCCCCCTCCTCCCTCTCTCTCACTGGCAGTCAAGGCAGAGCGACGTTCTCACGAGCGGATCAGCAGAAGAAAGGTTTCCCCATCATTCACGAAGAGGCATTTCCTAGTAACTGCAACCCTATGGTGTGTCGCTCCCCTGGGGAGAGGCCAGCAGTGGGAGCAGATGCCGGCAGCTCCTGGCTCTGCTTCTCTCTCTCCCTGCAGCCCTGCTTGCCCACCTGTCTCTTTGTCCTGAGGTATTGGGGTTTTGGGGTTTTCCTCCTTAGCTCCTGCATGGCTAAAATCACTGCTGCTGCTGCTACCTTCAGAGAAAGCAAGAGTCAGAATAGCCCTGATGCAAGGGGAGAGAGATGCTCCTACGGGATCTGGCTGGTGGGAGCAAGATGCAGCATGCAAGTGCATTGGAAGGCAGCACGGGGGTGTCTCCCCTTGGACAGAGGTGCGTTCAGGGCATGTGGAGGTGGGGGTGTATGGTGCCAACCAGACTTTTTTTACCCGCTGCTCTGTGACTGAAAGAAACGATGCAAAAATGCCAATCTCTCCTCTTAGTATCCTCTCGCCTTTCTTCCTCCCCCGCCTCTCCTCCTCCCTACTCTTGCTAAGGCAAACAGTGATCTGCTCTGAACTCTGTAAAGTAGCAACAGGAGAGCATCCTTAAAGAGACAGCAAATGTTAGCTGTCCCCTCCTGACACACACGTGCATCCTCTCTCTCTACCCGGCCGATGTTGCTGCGGAGGGAAATCTCATGCTAGAGGGTGAAGGTAACATCAGGGAGCATGTCAGCAGGTCTGAGGCACGAAGCCGCCACGCAGGGCCATGATGAATAGTGAGGATATCACCATACCCCATGAATCTGGGGGCCTGGTCGGCCAGCCAGGATGTCGAGAGAAATAAAATGCTGTGCCTGATTAGCCAGCCTCTGGGCTTTCAGGACAGCCACATGAGGGAAAAGGGCTTCCCACCACCAACCGGCCAGGCTGTGCCACCAGGTCGACCTGCTGGGAACCAACCTAGCTAGACACTGAGGGTCTGATCCATTGCAGAGTCTCACTGACTTCAGTGAGCTTTGGATGTGTGCCCATCACTGCGGCACTGGAGCACCAGGAATATAGGCCGTCAGGAAAAGACTGAGGTCCCGGAGGAACAGGGACCCATGAAAATTGGTGGGAGCCCTGTTCATTGCATCCTCAAAAACCTATACTGACCAAAGCCCTGAATCTTGTCTCTGTGTCCATGTGGGGAGGGACAGGGGCTGAGGGGGATGTACTGTTGTCAGGGGCAAGCTAGCACTAGAATAGAAGCAAAGTGGTTTTGAGCCCTTTTTAAAGATCATTTCACATTTCTTGGTTACTGTTTCCCTTGCCTCCCCCATGCCTCCAGGCCTCAAGTGCTGAAAATAAACACAAGTTAAAAAATGAGCTAGTGTAAAAGCACATGTAGCTCCACTGAAGCCACTTTACACCAGCTGAGGATCTGGCCCCAGGAAACAAAGTCTGCACTTACAGATGGCACAACTCCTGAGCTCGCCAGGTGGGAGCTCGGTAGTCTGGCCAAGTCACTGAAACTCTGTACTCTGACTATTTAAACTTAAATTTGCAAAGGAGAGCAACGGTATGGAGCCTCTTTCATTTCAGTGGGGCTCATTTTGATTGCAGGGGCCCATCTGGCTGCTACCAAGGCAGGCACAGAGCCTTTAAGACAGGGACTGACCTCAGCTAGCTTACAAATGCAGAGGCATGCTCATATGATCTCTTCTGCCTTGGTGGTTTTCAGCTGCTCCTTCATATCACTCCTATTATTAAGCCGTGCCTGTTCAGCTGCTTCTAAGAAATTTAATTAGGCAGTGTTTAATTATCTAGCCACTGGAAAGACTGTCTTCCTGGGATTAATACTGGAAGAAGAATGATCATATTCTGTACTATTGCAGCAGCGTGGGCTAGAGTCATGCCTTTTTGTCCTCAATTGCAAAAACAGTAGGGCGATGGGACAAACTGCCTAAAGAAGTCACAGAATCTCCTTCACTGGCAGGTTTCAAAAAAAGGTCAGATAAGCATTGGCCTGGGATAGTTTAGGATAAGTGCATGCTGCATTTGTGAAGGGGGTTGGACAAAATGACCCAAAAGGTCCCTTCCAAGCCTCTGATAGTGGTTAAACACATGCTGCTCTTTTGGACAACTCCACTTTCCCGAGAGCAGTCCACACAGCAGGGAATGAATGAGACACCGAGACCTTTTGGGAAATGTGAAGAATTATATCAAGGTGAAAAGCAGTACAGGTAACTACTGATATTGCGGGTACTCCTCATGGCAGTAAGGACAGAACACCTGGTACGTGCATTTAAGTGGACCCAGGATCACTGGCTGAGGACAGACCAACCATGTCACAAGCAGGAGCTTGGAGTTAGACTTTTATGTCCATAATTAGGGTCTTGAGTCATCCACCTGATTTTCCAAAGTGCTGAGCTGTCAGAAGCTCCCAAAAACATCAGCTAAATTACACCAATAGAAAACCTGGGTGAGTGGCATCAGAATCAGCCCCAGACAGTTTAGGTGGTTTAAGACTATTCCGTTAAAAATGTATAGACTTGTCATAAAGGACCAGATTCTCAAAGGGGCTCATTATCCCCAAACTCCCATTGAGAACCAAGGTGACACCCTAAACCCAGCTGAGACCAGAGGAGTAGCTGGATGTTGCATTCCTTTAAGAAATCTGTCCATGATAAGTCAATAGCAACTAGGAAATGAAATTAAGGAGCTTTTTTTCTAGTTACTCTGCCATGAAATGTCCTCTGCTTTAAAATACAGAGATCCCTCTCCTTAACTCAAGCAATTTTCAATTAAAGCCTGCTCATTCCAGTGCAGAAATTGCCTGTATTTATCCTGGAAGTACTTGAATTCTGACACTGAGCCCATTAGGTACAAGAGCAATACGATGGGTTCATCCATCACTGATCAATAATGCAGGAATGTCTTGGTGCCCTGCTGGGAAGGGGAGGAGGAAGGAGGGACAACAATTAAGCAGCAGCCCTGGAGAGAAATATGTTGTGGGGGGAGGAAAGGGAGGGAGAGAGAGGGTGGAGGAGAGGTTGGACTGACTTAGGAACCCCTGCCAGAAGATGGTGCAGCTAGATGCTGTCTCTTCCTACAGAGATGCTGTGTGTGTTTCTCAGCTCCAGAGCCGATTTCCAAATGTTGCCGGCTCTCGAGGTGATCTCTAAGAACTAACACGCTCAGCATTTCACATCAGACTGACTGAGCCAGCAAGGAGATTTAGATGCCTCATTCATACTTGCTATTCCAAGTATCACCCTCTGCCAAAAGGCCCTGGACCCTGCTGAGGACAGCCGTAGAGTGTTGTATGGATAGGGTAAGAATTCAATTTACCACGCATGAAAGCACAGCATCATGAGGGAGACAGAAATGGGAAGGACAGTTGGATATTCCCAGACACTAAGCGCTGATCGCCAAAGGAAGCTTTTTTTTAGAACTGCCGTTGTAGCAGGAAACCTTTATTTCCCCATTCCTCTCTGTGCTGGGAGCAAGGAAAGGTCCCACAGCATCAGGATTAGTCAGTCTGACTAGGTAAGCCCCGAAATATTTGTAAAATTGTAGTAGGTCTCTGTGTCTCAAGCAAGTTAAAGTGAGGCAAAGTTTTGCCATACATCAGATCATCTGCAGTAATTGTCCTGTCCCTGCTCTGTGGTAAGTAAAAGTGAAACCACTATAGGTCTGCCCTGAGTGAAATGGGAATGAGAAGTTAGTACGGTGGACAGCTACCGAAGAGCAGCTGCTTTGCAGTAAATCTTTCTTCCCTTTTAGCTCACTGTAATTTGTTTGCCCACCCCCTCGGTTCTCTCTTGTAAAAGAAGATCCACAGCACCTCGCTTCTGCTAGGGGTAGGGTGGAGATAAATGTATTACACACGGTGAGCTCCTCTGGTACCACAGCAGTGGGGGCCACGCTAGTCACGGGGACACGCTTGAGATTGCCACTCTGAACCCACATCAGTAAGGGCTGCAAGTCTGAACCTTCTGCCTGTTTGGGGCCTATGTAAGAAGAGGTTGGTGCCCCCAGTTGGCTTCCCACTGGCATGGATCATACCCATGTTGGTATTGCCATTGGTAGGGATGGGCCACAGAGAGTGAGCTCTTCTTCCCCTCCTCAAAGTGGTCCCTGAAGCAAGTTGGAAGCTCTTTGGCTGGTGGAGGAGTCAGACCCGATATGCATCCATGAACCTCAGCTTTCTCTCTCAGTCAAGGGGTGGAGGGAGTGGATCACATGCTGGGTGGGAAGAGGAGAGGACTGTTCTTCCAGGGGCTGTGTTGACTTTCAGTTGATTTCATCTTTAGAGCCTGCTGAAACCATCACGAGTGGCACTGCCCAGAGTTTATGGAAACAGGGCAATTGCTGAACACAGTCACCACTTACATTGTTTTCCCGGAAATCTACCTGGTGATGCTAATAAAACCCTGCAATACTTAGCACGTGTTGCCATTTCACGTGCTTGTTTTTGCCCAGCACCTTGAGACCTCAGGGAACATGCTCAGAAAAGAATATGATCCGTGACATACTTTTCAGTGGAAGAAAAAAATCTGCTGACACCTTGCCTATTGGTTTTTTACCTGTATGCAACTACAAAACACCTCGTAACAGCAGGGGTCAATGATTTCTAAGGACAGACACTGTGTTTGAGAGACGCTGGCCTAGAAAATGTCTTCTTCCGGCAACACCTTCAACTAAAGGGTCATGTCCCCACCAGTTTTGAAAAGCCTGCTGACCTACTTTCATGTGATATTTAACAAGCCTCTGTCTGGGTTGGGTACTGAATACACTAAAAGGCTGGCCAAACCAAGCCAGGAATCCATATTAATTTTTTTACGTGTTGTGTAAGGGTGAGGTTAGAAATTACCATCAGCACGCAGTGTGAACTGCTTTTGGCCATTAAATAAAGAGTGAAGCCTGTTTGGAGTCTGGACTAGCCAAGCATGAAATAAAAACTACTCAGGGAGTTTTAAAGGGCCATTAAAATCAGAGTTGGAAAAGGCCCATTAAGATCTATCCAACTTCCAATTTATATGTGGATTGCTTTCTGATGTGGACTCTCCACTGCTCTGTTCCAACATTTCACCCAAAGTGACTTCTGCCAGTTCCTCTGGGAAATAATCCCACAACTTCACACCTCTCCCTGGCAGGCAGGGCTGCAGCTGTCTCATCATGTGGCTCCTTTTTTCATCCCTTTATTCCTGAAGACTCCCTGCTCTCAAACTCCTCCTCTGTGCTCTTCAATGCCATTGGGCAAGCACTGG